TCTGTTTAATCGCTTCCCTTGACAATGCCTGTAAACTGGCATTTAATAATAAATTAAACTAAATTAAATAAGAATTCCTGCACTGCACTTCGATAACCTGTTATGAGACGTGCGAATCAGTGTGTATTATATTTTAAACACTTTTATAGAAGGCGAGCTTTCAGAAGAATGGAAGTGCTCACTCATCACCCTGATCGCCAATGGGGGTCCGCGAATCGACTGCGAAAATTATCGTCCTGCCATTCTAACTGGCATTGCGTATAAAATAAGTGAATGCGTTATCAATATACTTTTGATTAAACAACTGGAAAAAACAATATTTTGTGTAATATCAGACGTGGTCTTCGTTCAGGTCATTCTTGTCTCATAAGGGTTCTTTTCTCGAACGAAAAAAATGAAAATTGACCACGAATAGTTACCATCCAGTAGATGTCATGTTGTTCGACTTCCTGAAGTCCTCTGATAGCATACAACAAGGGATACAGTTACGGAATATGTGGGGTGTAGGAATTCGAGGAAGAATGTTTAAATGGGTCAGGATTATACCGTCCTTCAAAGGTCAGACAGTCGCTGTTTGTAATTTTTCTCGGAATGGGCAAAAATGGAAAGTGGTGACCCACAGATCTCAGTTTTCGACAAAATAATCTTCCTGATTTATGCAAACGATTGCACCAACGAACTGGATTACGAGGCTCTTATGTTAGCGGATGACATTCAAATATGAAATGAAGTCAGTTTTGTTGATTGCAGAAGGAATTGGCAATTCGACACAGATTGTTTGATCACACAGGTGGCTTTTGAAGTTCAATGTGCCCAAAAGCATGGTCCTACACCTAAACCCTGTCCGAAATGCATTTCTCAAACATCAGTACTACATTAACGGCACGGCATTAGAAACTGTAGAAAAACACAAAGATTATGTGCATACACGACCACAAACCTCACTCGGTCAAAATACTGTAGGAAGGTGGTCCAGAAGGTAACAAGTGCTTTCCTCTGGGATCAGCCGTGCGTCTAAAAAATTTCCTCTCGAACTCTTCTGCGTCTTTGTATGATCCCAACTGGAATAAGAAATTCCAACAGCCACAGCATGGATGAAGACGGATATTGGCTTACTCTAACAGGTGCAACGCAGAGCAGCGCAGACGGTCGACAGCCTAAAGCATTCGTCGTTCCAAGAGAGGTTGGATGTGTTTGGCTTATTCCATCTTTCTTATAGGCGACTAAACTGTAGTCTACTCTGTACGTTCCGGATTGTCCGATACCGTAGTCGTTCACAGAGACCGGGCTACTTCGTTGAGTCTGCCACCACAAATAAACTACATGGCTATCCCCACAAAACCAAGAGCGAACGCACGTAGCTCGATCGTAGGAAGTTTTTTTCAAGCAACTGATTGCTCGACCATGGAATTCGCTACCAAAAAAGATGGCGACGGCCGACAAAATTCACATGCCCAAAAGAAAAATTACTCGCGTACTTTTGGACAAGGACCGGCTTTTGCAAAATGATAACTCATTGAGAGCTTTGTAAAACGCATTGTCTTTTACAACCTTCTAGTTCTGAGTCACAGTACACAGAAGCGATTTCTTATTATTCACGTTGTACTGTGGACCGATTACATTCTAAATGTTTGCTATTTTATTTTGATTGTGAATCTGTGGAATTATTTTGCATAAATGGGATTAACCAGTGCTCTGCCTATAACCCCTCAAATATAAATCCATACGCAAAATGGTAGAGTAAAATTTTACAGCCAGATCGGTAAGTCTACACGTAGCGTCATTATAATGCACAGGAGGGCTAGAAATCTGAATGAAACTAAACTCCATTTGAAATTTATTGAACATATGAAAAAATGGACCTAGGAGCGCTCGATAATTTTAACAATTTTATGTCTCGTTACGGATCAATTTTTTTGTTCTTGGTGCCCTTCTTGAAGGAAGGTGGCCAACACTTACGTCTCAGTAATGTGGGAAAATCATGCCTCTCATTGACCTGGTTGTAATTGAGGCCAAGGACGCGCACAAACAAAGTTTCCACTTTATTTTATATAAACGTTTCTAAGAGTAGACAGCCAATCGATGTCGCTTTCCACTTTCTTTATTCATGCCCTTTTAACTTAAGAGAAACTGAAACCAAAAGACTTTCACCTAAAAGGAAAAATCCACCAATTCTTTTCAAACGATTTTCCTTGATAGAAGTGGACTCTATTTTCTCCTATTTGTAGCGCACAGCTGAATATCTTAGGATAAATAAACTTTTTATAAGTCGGGATGAAACTCCTCAGCAACGAAGAGTTTCTCCCCATTAACAAATATAAAGCCACCCGAGAATTCTATTCATCTGCCGTTTGCCTCTAAAGCAGATTCTGTATCAGGCGTCAACCAAATCTCCCCCTACCTGCAGCGGCCCCAGTTCAATTTATCTCTTCCATCGCCCATATTATCATATAGTCACTTGAAACCAGCGATTTTAAAACGCTCCCAGGAAGCAAGAATTGCACAAATGCGGCTCCCAAATTTATTTCGGCGCTTGATCTTAGCAATAAAGATGAGCTAATCCTAGAAGCACAACCGAACTCCAGCACTCAGAGCGCTGAAGTAGTTAATAAAACTGGAGCGAACCTAGACCGTTCCCGCGTCTGGCCATTCAGGTCTGACCTAGGGCTCAGGTCAAATAAGCCAGGTGATAGTTCAGGGCGATCTTTACCTGTTCCTACCCTGAATTCTCAACTTAACGTAAACACCTCAGTTGTGAAGCCCACTTACACACCAGCCTGCAAAATGAAAGTGTATAGTGTTGCTGATAATTTCTTCAATCCCGTTGCTATCCTGACAACACAAAATAATA